CGGAAGCACACGACGCTGCAACAATCACCGTTTTGGATTTTGGCCTCTCTTGTTTCTTGTGAATTGGATTTGTGCTGTTGTCGAAGGTGAAGTTGTTGCCAGCGTGGATGAAAGATGACTCGTTGAACTTGAATCTATCCAACTCGTTTAGGCTAGTGGAGGCGGTGAAGTTGTTGAATGAGATGTTGAGGTATTCGAGAGTGTTGAGTGGAGGGAAATCGGAAGGGAAGTTACCGGTGAAGGTGTTGTTTGATAAGTCGAGGATTTTAAGGTTTCGGAGGCCAGAAAGTTGGATTGAATTGGTGAACCTGTTGTGGGAGAGGTTCAGCGTTTCAATGGATGAAAACGAGGTGTTGATATCGATGCTGCCTCCGAACCTGTTTCTGGAGAGGTTTATTTCCGACAAGTTCGAGCTTGACCAAAACCAGCTAGGCACGTGGCCCTCCAGGGAATTCTGGGACAGATCGAGAACCTGCAAACGCGACATGTTCCTCAGATAGTTCCATGAAATGGTGCCGCTGAGGTTTTGGGATGGAAGTACTATTCGGGTGATGTGAGTTTGTGAGCAGTTGGTTTGGAACCGGGAGGAAGCGTTGAAGCCAGAGACTGATTTGAAAGCCTTTGACACCAACTCATGCTCTTCACTGTTGTTGCATGAAGATTCCGCAAGAGAAAACAGCGATACAAGAATCAAGAATCTGCAAAAGGGCTTCATTTTGCTCCACTGTTTCTCTTACCAAAGAAAAGAAACAGAGCTTGGTCTGCTCTGGTCTAATGTGGTTAAGGTTTGCGGTTAGTGGTTAGTGGTTATAGAGGAAGTGGGAAGTAGTAAGGAAGCAACGGCGTCATCTTTTGACGGAGAGTTAACGGCACTTGAACATCCAACGTGAGTGAAAGATAGAGAGAGGAATAGACAGATTTATTTATTTTTCAATAAAAAAACTTTAATATTACCGCTCGGTGATGCGGTGATTGCGATTTTAGTATTTTTTATTTTTGACTTATGATTATTTAAAGGTAAATTGGCGAGCGTGAAGTTGTGAAATTTACGGGGACAACACTGGTGTGGAATAAGGGATGTTTGTTTGTTGGGTATGGTTGGATCGAGGGGAAGTGAGATAGAATATAAAAATGGGATTATGGCAAAGAGATTTGAAGATGACTTGTGTGTGTGAAACTAACGGGGTCCCAGTCCCAGTTCCTTTATTTTGGACTCTGAGGTATTAAAGATCCAAATACCATATGATCCAATGGGATGCTGGACTTGTTCAGCTCAGCCATAGCGATTATAGTGCCTCGCAAATGACTTGTCCAAACGCAGAGTTGACAACACTTGCTGCGCTTGCATCATGATGCATGAATATAAGGAGGAACACTTCCATATTATCGAGCCTCATGTTACGTACAGATCAAATTATTTGATGTGTTAACATGTTCATATCATTCAATAATGCCTCGATACATCAGAGAGTGTTGGATTTTCCATGTCGGTTGGTTCCATATTCTGCTGCAAATTTGGAGAATATAATTATGTATCAGTTTGTTTAAAAGTTAAGTGAAATTGATTTTGAACTATTTGAAAGGCCATTTTCATAGATTAGTCATGATTCATGAATGAAGAAAACCAGAGTAATCATCAGAGAATAATTGTAGTTTGATTGCATTGCACCTATTCCATTTCGGGGTGTTTCATCTTGTAATGTTGACAAATCAGGCGAGATTTTATTGGTTTAAACTATGACTAATTGATTAATTGTTTGGCCACTAAAAAAAATGAAACTGCATTGACTGACATGGCTCATGGCTGAGTAAACAATATAGAATATGATTGTCAAATATGGAGAACGGTCAAACAGCAATTGCGACATTCTTCTCTATCGTCAAAAACAAATCACATGCAAATTGCTAAATTACAAAGACCTTGACTCAATAATGCTCAGTCTTCCACTAAATAATAAGTCCTCATCAGTCACGAAAGCTGTTTTGTTCCCCATTAATTCCTTCAATTGCCATGTAATTTATTCGTACACGTTAATTAGAATATTATGCAGAAAGAAAGATATCTCCAAGTAATTAGTAAGCAAGAGCATCCAGTCAAAATGAAAATTCTCTTCTTATCTCTTGCAGCAAAAACAATTAATAACATCAATCTCACAAGCTTAGATTGTTAATACGGGTAACATTCATGTAAATTATTAATAAGAAATTGTGTCAAGGTTATATTTATATATACACACATGTAATAATGAAAAAAAAAATCCCGCAAATATTTAGCATAACTCTCTCCATCACTGACTTTGTTGATTTTAGAAATTGTGGGCTGAAAAAAAAAAAAAAAGAAACAGAATAAGGTGTTCTGGAGAAGCACGAAATCGAAATTTCGCAGGAAATTCCTGTTTCAGAAAATGACAAATTGCATAGGAATGGTATGGGAATGAAATTAAGAGCGAAGTAGACAGTGGTTTAAGACTACGTTGGGAAGTAGTTTGGTTCACAAATTCCAGGTGCTAGATGCCATCTCACTCACCTGCTCTGGCACGTGATCTTGGCTTCTTTCTTTTGCTGTTATATACTGCTTCTATGTTAAAAAACTGTTCGGAATCGTTTTGGAGGGTAAGTTAAGTGGATCGAGTTATTACCTTACCCTCTCCGAGGGAATGACAACTAAGATTTTCAATATATTATGAAACTTAAGGAGACTTGTATTTTAGAATTTTTTTATTATCCAAATCAAACTTGTTAATAACAAATTATAAAGACTAATACATACTCTTTAATTGCCTGAGTGTTAGACTTCTTAATCAAAATCTTATAATAGGCTTGTATTTGTATTTTTAGTATTTTTTTAATTTTTTTTTTATAAACTTCATCCGTCCAACTTTTATTTTACATGAATTTCATTACTTATTATTTTAGTTGTATAATTTTGATTCATTCATTATCTTCTAATATTTAATAGATATTGCTAATTGTAATAGAGCAGTACAAAGTGATGTTGACATTTTTGCTAAATATTCATGTTAAGTTATTATATGGACCAAAGTTGAATAATTAAGATAGTGAAAAAAATTAAAAATTGTGAAACTAAGGGGGGTGTATTGGTTTAGGATTTCGTAGGATTAAAATTTAAAAATCATTTGATACTTCATTTCATTAATTCAAATTGACGGATAATCATAAATCATTTTATACATTGATTTGAATTAATGAAACAAAGTATCAAATGATTTTCAATTTTTTTTAAAATTTGCAGATTTGATCTATGTATTAAAAACTTTAATTTCAACAATTGGATCATTGAAATTTGATGTAGATTATGAGTTATTGAACGGAGTAAGTCCAGGTATACTTATTCCTGAAGTAAACAGATTCATCCTCCTATAAAGTTAATATCTCAATTATTTAATTAAAATTTATGTTTTAAAACAACATATTTTATACTTATTTTGGTAAATAAAAATTAAATAATTGTTTGAAATATACAAATTTTGATTTACTAAATAATTTCGTATTAATTTTGGTGCTAATATGAAATAGTTAATTATCTTGTACAAATCAAAGAAAAATGAGCAACAAAATAGATAGATCGATAAATATTTATTTGGACAGGCTTTCAAATATATTGTAACAAATGTAAAAATGTAAATACTGAATGGGGAGAGATTGGAAAAAGAAATAAATAATTATAGTAAAAATACAATAAATGTGTTGTTATCAAAACTGGTAAAAATAGAAAAAATTAATTATTATAGTTGACACCATATACAAACATGAAATCTCTTTATTCCTTGATTTCAAGGGGTCACAATACAAATTAATGACAAATAATGAAATTAATAAGATTACAAAATGAAATTTATCTTTTCTAATCACAAAAATGATTTTAATGTGGTGAAGAGGTCATGGGTGACAACAAAGAAGATGTTGGTGTAAGAGACTGTTGGGGCAAGTGAGCCCGAGAGGAAGAGGTTGGTGTAAGTGGAGATAAAAGCGATGGAGGAGAGTAGGATAAAGGCATTGCAACCCTTGAGAAAGAAGTAGTCGTTAAAGAAGGGATAAAGAGAAGTAATGACAATGATGAGATTGACATCTTTGTGAAGAATGAGAAACTCATAATCAAAGAAAGAGGGAGGGGGAGAGGAGGAGGAGGAGGAGTGAGTGAGTGATATTATAAAGAGTGAAACTTTTAGATTTTGTGACTTTTAATTTTTATGGATAGAGATATATTAAAATAAGTAAAAGACTACAAAATAACATATAAATTTTCTCGTTAACATCATAGTGCGTAAATGCATTTTAAAGTGACATATTAGAGTATAACTCAACTTTTATATTATAAATAGATGACTTCTTTCTAATTTTGTCTTATTTTCATATCATTTTATTACATCAAACACACTATAAAAAAAGAGTTGAGATAGATAATCTATATTCTCATTAAAAATCTATAAAAAAAAATTGATGAATTAATTTTAATTTTACATGGAATTGTATCTTATTCCAATATAAACTTTTCGATTAAAACAAAAACACTTTGTAAAAGCCACGTTAAAAAACATTACTTCCCCATTTTCCGCCACAACAAAGCGTTGCTTCCCATTCACATGAAATTAAAATGATTTCCCCTCAGCTCACTGCCATCCCAAACACGTTAATAGTCTCATATAAAAAAATTGTTTTAAGTTGAAGTAATGTTCGATAACATTTACTTTGAATAAAAAAATGTTATGTTTAGGTAAATAGTTTAAATAAATATTTAATTGATAACATTTTATTATATAAAAAGTTATGCCATAATTTAATTATAATAAATAAATAAAAATAATAAACTACAGTTTAATCTTATTAAAAAAATTATATATGGGACCTTGAAACAGAAGTCAAAAAAGAAAAATATGGGAGCCGCAGAAGATTTGCTCTAAGAGTAAGTCTACCTAGACTTACGTCGTTTAATAATTCATGTTCTACATCAAATTTTAATGATCCAATCATTGAATTTAAAGTTCTTAATGCATATATCAAGTCTACAAAATTTTTAAAAAATTTAAAAATCATTTGATACTTCATTTCATTAATTCAAATTGACGGATAATCATAAATCATTTTATACATTGATTTGAATTAATGAAACAAAGTATCAAATGATTTTCAATTTTTTTTAAAATTTGCAGATTTGATCTATGTATTAAAAACTTTAATTTCAACAATTGGATCATTGAAATTTGATGTAGATTATGAGTTATTGAACGGAGTAAGTCCATAAGAGGACTAAAAATTCAACTAAACTTAAATAGTATAGCAGCCTACCCTTTTACCTTATAATTCATCAACATGGCTCTCATTTCTGACCTTCTAGGAAAAGTACCTCTCACTTGTATTTAAAATATGAACAAAATGAAATTAAGAAGGAGAATTTTTTTAAAAAATTATTTTGTTCAAAATGTTGTATTTTAAACGAATGAAATTTATAATTTTTGGTTCTCTATTTATATAGCATATGATTGATAATATGACATTCTTATCGTAGTTATCTATTATGAATTATTTATATTAAATAAATCATTAACTTATAATTAATATGTATTTATTATTAATAGCAAGCAATGTTTATTCATTATTGGTGTGAGCTTTATAGTCTTATGGTCCTTTTTGTTTTTGGTGAACGGCCTTGTGATCGATCCTTTTGATTCTAGCCCACAAGGGTTAGGGCCGAATAAGTTAAAGATTGGCCCATTTTATTAATCTCGTTTGGTTGATTGATTCCCGTACTTGGAGTCCAATTAGTCAAGAGCAAAGATTACAGGCCATTATCGTGGTAAAGAAATAAACCGAAGGCTATTATTAATTGGTAGAACGACCATCCATTATTTTATTAAAGCACGTTAAACCGAAATATCACACGCACTTGCAGTTCACAAACGCCATTATTTGTGGAGAAAGGGCAAATACTTAAGTACTAATATGCCCTGATCCAAGACAACACTGCAAAATGGTGTTGTGCTTTAGATAAGCCTATTGGTTTGAAAAGGATCCACTATATGGCCGAAGATAAAATTGAAGATGTTGAAACCTTTTTGACTGGATAACCAGGCAAAGCATTGATGGCACATACACCATAAGGCCATTCATCGCTAACATTTCTTTTGATTAAGAGGTAACCTTTGTCTCCCCACTCTTTTCCCCATGAGTTTTTCACAATCCAATAGTCTTCACCACCCACCGAACCATAACCCACAATTAAACAAACAAGAGTTGCATTTCTTGAATTCTTTGAGCAATTCTCACCACCATAGACTCCCTGTCAACACAAGAATTTACAAATTTGAACAATCTTCCTAGGCATTAATAATATATATCCATTGTAAATTAAATAAATATACTTACACCGGTGTAAAATTGAAGGCCAGTTGCATCTATGCTCACACTAACAGGCTGTTTACTAACACGGCACAAGAGAGCTTCTTCTGACCCAGTCACAACTAGAAGGTTATCAATACTAACAACCTTGCTTGCATTTTCCTTCAAAGAGAAAAAAAAACTTAAATTAAGCATACAAAAATAATGTCTAAATTAATAGTTCCACAATTTCTTTTTTTATTTGGAAAAGGAGAAAAAGTGTGACCAGACCTTGCAAGTACCATTTTGGGCTACGTATGGATAATTAGCTTCTGTGTCAATCCCACCATTGTTTATAACCCAACCAAATGCATTGAAGTAATAGCCTCCAGCACAACCATTGCTGGCAGGGTCACAGTCCACGAGTTCTTGTGCAGATAGGGTCACAAGATTCCCAGTAACTATTTTGTTTATTCCTTCGATGGCCCCGGTCACAGTGAAAGCCCAATGGCTTTCTAACAACATAACATGTTAAATATCAGTCCCACAAAATTCATGCACATTTCGCTATATAATATATTAATTGCAAAACTAAAGTTTTTATACAATATTAATAAAACTTAAAAGATTCTATATATGTTCTATATGGTACTTCATACTCCACAATGTTTAATTTACTTAAAAGCTAAGTACTAGAATGCTATATGCTATGCATGTGCAGATAAATGAAGAAACTGAGGAAAGGAGATGCTATGTCGATCGATAAAAAATCTTACGGCATTCTCCTTGGTCCCTAACTTCAGTCACAGCTCCCTTCTCCCTCCAATCTACAGAATCAGGAAGGTTTTCACACTCATCATCCTGCACCTTAATATGGTCCAAGTTAGAGGGTATATCTATATCATTTAAGTAGGTTTTCTTAAACTCCTCGGGACTCATATCAGCAAACTTGTTGAGACCTAAACGATGCTGCACCGGTGACTTCCTCTTCGCATTCATCTCATTGATATACCTCAAGTTCCTTTGGAAAATCTGGAACCTCTTTGCCTTCTCCTCTGGGTTGCCATATTCGCGCCCTTGCTCCTTCTGCCACACTTGGAACACTTCTTCCTCCGAAGAAATGGAGTAGTCACTGGGCACTGCAAAGGAGAGTCGACACGTGAAGGAAACAAGGACGAGGAAAAGAAGAAACAACTTAGTCATCATTGACACAAATCAATAACTAAGTGTTATGTTTGTTGGTGGTTATACCGTTCTTGTGTGGTTGCGTAACATATATATCGAGTCAGTGATGAGTGATGAAGTTGGTTCATGTGACTCCTAGGTGAATCATTGATCAAACACGTTTATTTCGTTCTGCTATTTTTATGCCTTTTCTTTCTTTCTTTTAAGGTGGTCCGATCCCATTCTGTGAGTGGAGATGCATAGTTCTTGTCGTATACCTCCAAAATTTGACATATATGTAATTATATTCGCACGAGTCTCATCTTCCCGGCCATTCTAGCGAGGTCCCCCCAAAGATATTATAATGGTGACAATTGTCCGATATAAATCTATATATATATATGAACATTCAAGCAAAAAATAAAATAAAATTCGTAGAGTTAATTAGTAATATATATCCATCCAGCAATTATTAAAGTTTTATGATTTTCTTTTAGTTTAAAATTCATGTATCCTTTTCCGTAGAAGACAACTTTATTTAAGTTCAGAGTATGATTAGTATGATGGAGAAAATTATCCCTTCAAACATAATATAATTATATATTTAGTCCTCAAATTAGAGAACTTTAGTTAAGTTAAAATCAAGTTCGATTTTAACATTTTATGAGTTAAAAATGAAGTAATAGGTAAACGTTTTTTTAATCTAAAATATACATATATTATACTAGCATAATAAACAAATAAACACCTAATTTTATTAAAAATGATACATTTTGTGACAAAAAATATTTCTTCTACTCATAATTAAACACATATAAATACAAATTTTACATGTAAATAGGCATTTATTTTTTTTGGTAGAATTTTTTTTTAGTTTTGTTTTGATAAGATAAAATATAGGAATTGAAAAAGTTTTAGAAGAACCAACAAAATAAAGTTGAAGTGTCATTATTAAAGAAATTAAAATAAATTTCTTCCCATTTTAAAGTTGTTTGGATTATTTTTTCCTCCTTATTAACCATGGGCCTAGCACCCTAAACACTCCTTAGGACCAATCATAACTAAAAACTTTTTTTATTAGTTGATTCATGTGTTAAGTGGATTCAAATTTGAATTTTCCATTTTAAGTAAATTTCAATATAAGTATTATGAAAGAATGTTTTGAAATAAATTTCGAGTTATTATTATATTTTAGGCTCAAATATACTTTTAATTTTTTCAAGAATTATAATTGTACTATTTTAGTTTCTTAAATTTGAATTAATTAAATTTAGTCTCTTAAATATTATAATTATACAATTTTAACTTATTATATTAATATTTTTAACTTATTATATTAATATTTTAATAATTTATATTGATGTGACATACAAAACGATATAACAATCAAAGAAGAGCTAACGATATAATACAATGCATGATGATGTGATACGTAAAATTAAGAAGAAAATATTGTCAAAATATTTAGATATGAGATTAAACTCACCCTTACCAAATTTGACATGTGTTTTCTTTAGATTGATTTCTTTAAATATTTACATCCAAGCCAATAATCTTTTATATCGGATAAAATAGAAGTAAATTTGCTTAGAATTACTTTAATGTCTTTTGAAAAAAATCATACTTGATTTCACCAAGTTAACTATTTTCACCAAGTTTCACCAAGTGTATGCAGAGTATGTAAGGGAGATAAAATTGTATATATTAGAAGCTTCAAATTTATAGGCATTAGAAAAGATACAAGCATTCATACAATGAACTTGTGATAGATATCTAATACTGCTACAACCTATGTGAATAAGGAGAAATATAAAGGGAAAGGTAATGATAACAACTTACGTGAGCAACAGAGGAGAGGAAAAGGGGAATATGCATAGGGGATTTTCGTGTAAATTGTAACTGCTAGACAATTGGCAAAAAGGGAGAAGGTGTGACATGTTTTTGTTGGAATATAAACAAAGTCCTACATCATTTAAACAAGAGGATGGACATGAGTTTATATACACACAGCTGTCTCCATTGATTGAGAGACCTTTTATATGATGTGTTCTATTTCTGTTTCTGTAATCTGTGTAATTCCCAGTTTTATGCAAATATTAGAGTAGATTTCTATCAATTTTTAATTTTTTTTAGAAACAATTAAGATTGTTGTATTTTACTCAACTTTATTTTGTTTTCAGGATTTCATATCAAGAGGTGGCTGGAAATTTCCTATGTACAGGTAATTCATTGTTATCATTATACTTGTAGCTATTTCAGCACTTCAACATCTGAATATTGAAATCGTATTATAAAATAGCCAGGGGTAATGTTCTGATGTGTCCAATTTATCTGTTCAGATTATAGTCATGCTAAGTACAATGCGCAAGTCAGGCTTATTTTCTGTTATACTTCTGGTGCAATTAGCAATTCAACATTCATTGTAGTTAGGTTATTTAATAATCATGGGTTGATTTATAGGTATCCTATGAATGATGTGTCAATGTTATCTTTTTTCTTCTCATTTGATAAATACCGATTGACATAATATAAAATGGACAAAAAGTTTAAGTTATCCGTCCAAAAAAACTTGTATTTATAGTTATTTAATATAATTCTTGATATTAAATAGGTAAATTAAAAATTGATAAAAAAATTAATTACAAAAATTTAAAGAAAACAATAATTTGGATGAAAATTGATATATAATAAAAATAGTTGGAAATTTATTTATTATCTTTTTCTATGTAAAATTTATAAATTTGTCATTCAATTTATAAACAGTTAATTTAATAATTCACACATGTATTTAAACCCTAATCCTTTAAGTGAAAAATTTTAGGTTATTTAAGAAAAATCTTAATTCCTTAATAATTTTTGTTAAATAATTCAACATTAAGGCCAAGAACTAAAAGTCTAACTAATGAGATTTATTTCAATTCATTAGTAATAAATGTCATTAGTATTTTTTCCAGATCATAGTTTTAAAAGCGTTTATCAGCCTCAATCAATTCTAATAAATCATGCATTGGGTGATTAATCTTAAACAAAAATTAAGAATAAAAGAAAAATAATTAACCAAATAATATGTCTACTGAATAAAAAACAAGAAGAAATACGTTTCAATAACTACCTTAATCTCCAACAATAGGAAACTTACTTAATCTCCAATAATAGGAAACTTAGCCCTTCATGAATGAGAATTACAACTCTAGATTGATTTTTGAGTCTTCTGTGATTCCTGAATTGATATCACAAAACTCTCTAATCTATCTTAAAATTGTACTAAAAAATTATCTCACAATAGCAATTGATGAGACTTCTAGAAACCCTATTTTTATAAAAATTTCTAATGACCTTTTGGGTTAGGTCCAATCGCTCAGAGCGTCCATGTTGCTAGCTCTGAGCGACCATGTGAATTTGTCCAAGAGTGTCCTTTGTTTTTATTAGCATAAAGCGAATTTGTGGGAGCTTTGAATGAATTCTTCTCGCTTTAAGCGCCTATGGTATGTGCTATGGGCAAACTGATGTAACCTTTCAGTGTTTCTTTTTAACTTGACTCGTTCAAAACAAATTTATAATAGTTTTGAATGAATTTCAATCGCTCATAACACTTCTGCTATGCGTTCAAAGTGAGTTGATGTAATTTTTCAGTGTTGCTCTTTGACTTGACTCACTCAAAATGAATTCATGGTGACTTTGAGCAAGTTTCAATGTGTCTTACAACAATTTTTCCCTTTGAAATTTGTAGTTTTCCCAATTATTTTCTCCTGTATTCCACTTCAACAAAGAAAAACATAAAAAATATATGATAATTACATAATTAAATTTTAATTAAAATTATTTATAGACTAAGTATTTAGTAATCAAAAATAAGATTTAAAGTTTAATATATATTAATAAATGTCTAAATTAAATAAAAATATGAACGTATATTTGACACTTATCACTTTTTGTTTGTGGATTCAAATTTTTTGTTTTATCTAGTTATACGTATTTTCCTTTTCGTTTTTAAATATCTTGTTTCTGTTAACTTATACTTTTTCCACTATACATTAGTAAGAAAAAAGAAATTGCTCGATGAATGAAATATGACCACTAGTTTACAGTTTACCAAATTTTTACAATTTAAATTGGTTAATAAAGATCATACATACTCATGAAATAAGTTTACTTTAGGGGATTCTTCTCCTTAACGTTGAAGTCATGTGCTACATGAAAGCGATAAGGAAAAACTTGTATACAAAATGAGAATTAAATTGTAGATGACTAAATGGAAAGTAGTAGAAAAAGAGAGCGCGTGGTTTCAACAGCACTCCATAACAGTGAAAAAAAGTGTACCGACTAATCGCATTGGAAGACACTTTAGAGTGTAATATTAGTCCATTCTGATCTCTTCGTCAGTATCTCTAAGACACATTGTAAAATCCGAAAGTACGCACAAAGCAAAAGAAGAAGAAATACAAAAGCTTTCTGTCTCTATCCATGCTTTCCTTTGCTCTTACTCATTCCCCAACTCACTCATTTCATTTTGCGACCAACCATTCCTTTTCCTCTTGTGACGTGTTTCATCCTTCATGGGATTGAACACTCTCACCGAGTGATGTTCACTCACTACTAATTTGATGATTCTATACCATCCATTTCTCGTCTTTTATATGGCTAATTCAGATGCATAATGCCTCATGACCATGACAAAAAACACACTATAGACACTTTCTTTCATTTGGCTTGCATTGCAGCAGATAAACACTTTACCTGGGATGATATTCTTCTACTATGGTAATGTCCCATGTTTCATGCTGTTATTAAATAGGCTTGATCTTTTCTTCCTTGCCATTTATTTATTTTCCTCTTACACTTGAATTATTAATATTACTCTAGTGGGACCTTAAGTTAGGCTAGTGATGATATAATCATTCATGAATGTGCCCTTGCTTTGTCTGTTTAATATATTAGTTATACATAGTTGCCTTTTTTTTGGCAGCAAGCCTTGCAATTGTTAATTATTTATATATTTGGCTTATTTTAAGAGGAGGAAAATAGGAATTCTATCATCCTAGGCTTGAATCTATGGTTTCCTAAGCAACAAATATCGAAACTTTTATTACTAGAATCAGTAGAATGTTTGCTTTGCCTGTTCCACTCTCAATCAGCGGAATGGCTGAGAAACTGGAAAGTTATTTCAGTTATCCATACCCTGTTATCATGAGTTCATTTTGGTTTAAAATTTTGCTCGCTGATTGTATCATTGTTCTCCTCTGATCTTGGTTCAAGTCCAGTTGAATTGAAATTTGAAACAGAGAATCTGCTATTTAATTGTAATTTAAAATGTAATGATCAGATTCCTTCATTCTCTTTTTCAGATTTTCATGATTGAATAGAAGAATTCTTACACCGCAACCTTTTCTGCCCATGTGCTGAAATTAGTAGTATATGATATTCTTGAACTTGTAATTGAGAGTGGCTTCATAGAAATGTTCAATTGAGTTAGTGTGGAACATTATGGATGAAAGGAAATTGAATATTGATGCTCCTCTTATGTCTGTGAGGCGCACTTCTGGTACATCACCATCCCTAACTGAAGCAAAGAGTAAGATATTAGAGAAGCCACAAGCTGTTCCACACTATAAGTCAGACACCACTTTGGATCAGGTAACAGAACCTGTTGCTGTGCCTTTCAATTGGGAGCATATCCCTGGAAAGTCCAAGGGTTATGGTGGATCTGAATCTCAACCTCCTACACAGTCTTCAATTACCTTAACTCCAACTCTTCCCCCCGGAAAGTCCACAAATGTTGCCAAAAAACCATTAGAAAAGGAACCTAATGTTGCAAATAACTTTAGGTCCCCAAGCATATCAAATTCTTTATGTGAGAAAATAGATTGCGACAAAGAACACAAAGATGAGAAAATAAAAAAGGTGGAAGAGAATGATGACTTTGATGATGATGTTTATTCTGATGCTCTTGAAACACTGTCCCCTACAGAACCATTGTCTATGAACTGTAGTGTGAGTGGTGTGAGTGGCTTAGATAATTTGGATGCAAACATGGGTGGAACCTCTCCTACCGATAAACAAGCTCACGACTTCATGATGAGCCGGTTTTTACATGCAGCAAAGGCTATGACTATACAGCCAACTCAATATGCTTCTAGGAAGCAACCTGTTCTGGCAGAACAACCTAGGGAATTTATCAAATTGATTCCTGAGCAAAAGAAGTCCTTTGTTAATAGACATATCACTGACATTGTACCATATACTGGTCAAGATCAAGAGGAGGAAGCAGAAGAGGAAAGTGATGGTGAAACTAATGACTATGCAAATAATATTTCAGCTAAAGGTTGTGGATTGTTTCCCAGCTTATGTGTGAGAAATTCATTGTGTTTACTAAATGCAGTGCCTGGGACGAAAATGGGGAATCAGTTTCCCTTGTATTCTGACTATGAGGTTGGAAAACCTGATAAAAGTTCTCATAGATCAGCTCCAGTTATAAAGAAGGTAAGAACTGCATAACTCTCATTTTCTATTCTTACATTTCATTGCACCCTTCAATAGTCAATTGTACCCTTATCTAGGAATGGATTCTCTTGTGTTAATATTCACAAATATTGAAAGGATCCCATCTATTTAATACCTAGAAGAGAGATGGACACAATGTCACATGACTAGTTCATGAAAAATGAACATTAGAAGATCCATTCCCACCCTTACCCTCCTTCTTTATATCAGCTTTTCACCAACCATGACTTCAACTCATTTACCACAATCATGAGTTTTTGGTGCAGGCATGGGATGCTATTAATAAGAGCAAATCAAGCTCTAGAGCTGCATCACCAGACAAGCAGGATGTAAGGAAAAAATGGACTAGTGAATCAAGCAGGTACACTTACTCAGGTGAATTGAGACATATAGGTAGGCTTTCTCCCTTTCGTCGTTCAAGAGCTTCTGCTGCTGGCATATCTCCTTTTCGTAGTAAACCTCAACCTCTCTTTCCTGGAGCAAAGTTGCTTGGTGATTCTAAACAAGTTGATAATAACCATTCTGGCAAATTGAAGTTCCCGAGTAGTAGAGGCCATGCAAGTTTTCAAGAGGTGCTATCACAAGGAGCCAAAAAAAGCTCAAGTTCTAGGAGCCTTACTACTGAAAAGACCTTGTATATAGATACTGCAAGTACAGTGAAGTTATCGTGCTCTAGTTCACGTTCTTTAGGTAACACAACACTGGTAGGAAAAGAAAGAAATTCCATACTAGATTCTTCAACTTTGTCTAGCATGTTACATCTCATGGCCAAAGAAGATGAAGCTGAAAGATTGACAGCTGATCCAGAAATTAAACAAGAATCCATGTCCTTGCAACTTGTGCCAAGTTCATTTGACAAAGATGAAGATATCAACAACAAACAAATAGTAGTAGTTGATGATGATTCAGGAAAAGTTAGCACTGAATATGTTCTGCATCCTCTTGCCCCACCATTGCCAAAGTCACCTTCTGAGTCCTGGCTTTGTCGTGCCCTGCCTCTAGTTTCTTCTAAGAATTCGTTCCCACATTCGAATCAAGGTACATATTCCCAGGCTAAGAGACAGGGCTTTAGTAGAGCATCAAGCTATACTAAGTGGGAAACAATAGTGAAAGCATCGAATTTGAATCATGATCACGTAAGCTGTTCTAAGGTAACCTCATTAATCCCTTTAGCATTTTTATTTTTTGCCTTCCCAAAGGTTAAGTCACAAAAAAGGATGAAAAGTTGAAAACTCACATCACATTTAACTTTTCTCTACAGGAACTTGTCGTGTATAAATCTCAGCATTCGAAATCTTAAGAGATGGAAATCTGGCGTGTATATCATGTTATGGTCCAAGCTTTTGATGTCCTTCATTTTTTCAGGCGTATGGGATTTAATTCTCCTCCTATTGGTTTTTGGCATGACAGCATAGGTTAGAGTTTTGCTTTTTATACACTTTCATATCATATCTTCTTAGTTTTCTTTTTCTATTGAATTTTGTTTCCATTTCTTGACTCCTTAAACTTGATCCCTGACCCCTTTTCATCTTCTTGATATCAGTATTTTACTGAGAGGAACCAACATATTCTTTGGTGATCAATAAAAAAAACAAAGCTTCTTTGGACTAGTGGTACTTTCGGTGGATTCAAAATTTCATATGCACTACTATTGTGGCCTTTTCACCTTGTGGCTCAGGAAGGAACTTGGTTTTATCTTCTGCGAGATAATCTTAAAGTATCGAATTTTATATATATGAATCATGAATGTATATATAGATGACATTAGTAATTGCTGTTATTCATGCTTAATTACAAAAATTTCTTAACATTTTAGTCCGTCTTTTTTTCACTTTCAAAAACTGGTGTCAAGTATAAAAATCAATGGTCACGAGACTGAGTTGATTCGATGATCTGAACTAGATTGAAGAGCACATTCTGGGTTGAATCATCCGTTCGATTCAAATTTTAAAATCATGTTTAATATCGATTCGGGTATAGATTTTAGCATGTACAACTTTTTGGTATAGGTAGCATGTACAACTTGGATCCATATTATTTAATTTTTTTTTTATATTATTTAATTATATAATTCTATACACTAAAAAAATTATATAATTCTATAGTTTTTATAGTGTGTAACTATGCAATTATAAATTTTGATTTATGTATAGGAATGAGAATAGGTCTCATTATAATAGGAGTTTATGTTTAGAGTTTGTCGTAACCTAGTCTATTGAATAAAAAAATTATATTTAAACTTTTGAAAACACATATTTATTTAAAAGGATCACACCTAAATTTATATATAATTTTTTTTTATTAAACTTGTTAGATTAATCCATTTATTTATATAATATAATAAAAAAAATTAATATATCAAGCTAAGCTTATTAGTCTCTTTGAAAGTTGTATACATTAATTTTTTTTCTTTTTTTTTTAATTATTTTAAAATTAAATTTCGATACTAATGGAGTAAATTATTTTTTTACCATGCAAATTAAAAAGAGATTTGTTGACTTATTTAAAATTATATTTATTGAGTTATTTAAAATTAAGTTTGTTAATCTATTTAATATTATTAATATAAAATAGGCTAATGAATCATATTATGATATTAATTTAAAAAGAAAAAATCAGACTTACAAAAAATCTTATAATAGATACAATTAGACTTAGACCTTAATTTTATAAAAATAAATGAGACTTATATATTCAAAGTTTGATTTAACTTGAGTTATTCTTATCTCTATCTATACATTTTTTTGCCATTTTATTGTGATATCATATTTTTTTCTCTATTTTTTCATGTTCTTATTTTATAAAGTGACTTGATGACTTGATCTAATTCAATCTAAATAATGTCTCTTAAACCTAAACCAACCAACTAAAATATCTTGATGCTTTTAATTTTTTCATCTTAATTTTCTTATTCAGTTGTTGGCAATGTTACAGCTCACCAATATATATGTAATGATCTCAAATATTTTTCTTCCTATCATCAATTATCAAATGTTATCAATGTTCAATTATCAAACATGATTTTTTTTAGGTTAAATGTTAGTTGCAAGTTCAACTTGATTTTCATAACTCATTTAACAAAATTCATTCCTAATGTTACTTACTTCACAAGTTCTATTTATTTTTTTCAAGACCTATCAGTGAATATAGTGATTGGTTGAGTTAAATAATAGGATGAATTATATTAATTCCAACTAGACTCTATTTAAATCTTAGTTCATGTTTTTAATTAATTATTAGTTAATAAATTGTCATAGGATGTTTGGCATAGTAGGCCAAGACACCCTAATGGAGAACATTTTTCATTTTTTATGCTACTCTTATGATTATATAAGATCTTTTTTTTTTTTTTTCATTAGGATGTTTTCCCATAAGCGAAAAAAAAAACTCACATTCCATTCAACAAAAGTTCAACTTCAATCTCTTATTATTGCTTTTAATTAATCCATACCCATAGTTTGGGACTATTATCACCCGTTCTATCTCAAGAGTTTACTGTTTCTTAAAAATTGTTGATGATTTCTTCGTTGTAGATGGTTATTTTTAATGCATGCATGTTAAATTTGAAATAATTCAAGCTTTTTAATTTTTTTTAACTTTGTTATAATTCACTATAATCAACAAATCCAAACTATTTCTCCCGATAACAAGGATACTTTTCTTTCAAAAATGCAATGTTCCCAATCAGATAACAATAAAGGAATTTTTTTCCTAATGATATTCAGTTAGTTTAATGACCATGAAATTCTTTGTTAGAGAAGTTATGTTTTCACCGCATCGATATATATAATGAGGTTGTTGAAAGAAAATACAAACATTTCCTTATAGTAGAATTTTACAAATTCAAGGAATTTTAAATTCTTGGTATTTGAATTACTTTGATTTCAATTTCTATCATTCTTGAAATATTTTGTTTGGATGAGTCAATTCAAATTTTTTAAATTTTAAATTGTTAGGTTGAATATGATAATTCTATTCCATCATAATAAAAATTGATTTTAAAAATATATTTATATGTTAAGATTTTTAAATTAAATTTTATAAAAATAAATATTAATCCATTTTTAAATATTTAATAATTTTAAAAATTAATATTAGATAATATTTAATAATTTTAAAAATTAAGAATGGAGAGATAAGATAAAATATATAGGTGAAATAAGAAAAACAAATATGAAGAATTTCAAATTCTTCCATATTTGGGAGAATTTAAAATTCTACTATTTTAAGAAATTTCACAAATGCTTGGATTTCAAATTCTTTGTAAATTCCTCATCCAAATAAAGCATTTCACCTCAAAGAATTTGAAATTATTCAAATAAATGAATTACCCTATATAAATTCCTCATCCAAACACACCATTAATGTTAACCAATCTCTCATGTTTCAAGTCAATCTTTCTCTTGCATATTTAAGAAAATGTGTTTAATCATCACCAATCTAATATGTAATAAATTTTCACATAAAATTTTATATAAACCGCTTCTAAATAATTTATAAGTGTTTGTTTGTTTATATTAAGCAATAAAACTAAAACAGAAAACAAATTTGACTCTCATGCTACAGAAAAGTGTTTTTCTTGATTATCCTTTTAATTACAAATGTTATATCATTAACCTAGATACCAAAGAAATTTTGTATCTAGAAATGTATTTCACACACAAAAAAAATCCGTTTAATAACGCATCTTTATCCATTAATAATTTTATTGTTGATCAAGATTATATCTCGTCAACATCATTTTTTTCTCCATCCTCTCACGGTGTGAAACCCATGCAGACTTTATCATCCCATCTAAGTCCAAATGTTTTAAATTCACAAAAGGATTTATAATTATTTGTACCTACAACTTCGTAATCCTCTATATTGCAAATAAATTTGTAGTTTCTCTCATTCAACCAATTATTACAAAATCCTCTCTTTAGCCATCAAACTTGCAATCATAAGCCTTTAATATGACTCCAAGATTATTGTTGTGCAAATATATATAGATTGCAGCTTGATATTTCTTTATCCTTTAACCAATCATTTATCTTTTGAATAATTTAATTAATATAATTTCATAAAGAATCTCACACATTTACTTAAACGATAAAACATTTTCATTGGCATGATGTCATGGGTAATTAAAGAAATCTCAACCATGAAACAATAATACTTAGACTCTTAATATTCTTTCATTATAAAAAATTGTCATATAGTGACACACACCTTATAGTGATACAATGCGTGTCACTAAAAATTACTTTTATCCACATAATAAATATAATATTTGTTGGTATATTGTTAAAAAGTATGGATATAAACTATAGTGACACACAAAATATGTTGTTAAATCTTATTCAAAATTAACACAAAAATTATATGTAATTATATATCAAATATATATATACTTACATATATTATACCTATAGTGTCACTTTTTTGTATTTTACTATATGTAACATTTTTTATAGTGTTCCATATCTAACAATGAATTATTAAATTAGAATATTAATTTTTGATTCAATATAAAAATCCTATTATATATAGAACTTATTGTAATTAGATTTAGACACAATTGATAAAAATTAAATTTCTATCTTGAAATTAATTAAAAATTCACTTAATGATCTCGGATCGATTTAGGAATGGAAAGTGAGAGAGGAATTGACTTGTTCTTCCAAGAGAGAGTGAGAAAGAATAAACAATTAATTCAATTACTTTTTCTTTGTATAGCTTCCAATATTCTTCCCAAAAACTTAGTTAATTTCAACAACACATTAATTGATATTCAACAAACCAAAAACACAATGCACTACTAGTAAGAAAAAAATCCACGCTCATCATAAACTCAGCTTGTGTGCAACTCAATTTCTAACATACAGCTACCAAATCCATGCAATTTCCAACTTAAATATTCTTCTCTGTAGGTGCAGAAGTACAGGAGCTCTTGTAGTAAAGCCTGATCGCCATATTCTCAGTGTTGTTGAACTAAACGTATCCATTGCATGTACTTGCACATAAGGTTAACGCCAGAACACTTTGCAATATGTGTTATTTTCCTTCACTCTTTTATTTTATTTTGTGCCTGATCAAACCAAATACTTGCACAAGAAAAAATCTCTCTTGGAAATTCACTCGTAATCCCGACCACCACATTCATTTTACACTCAATTCTGATATTATTATTAGTATTGTTTTGTTGTGGGGGAGAAACCCTATGTACTGGCAAGCCCAGATATAATTGTGTAACTTTGTTTCAGTATCGATATATCTTCACTCAGACTATATGAATGGCTAGTATGTGGTATTTGCATTATACATTGACATGGCTATAAATTCTATGAAAGTGAAAGTTTAGTGTTGATTTCTTGGGTTTCTCTGCAATGATCAGTCTTGCCATCATTGTTGCCATCTCTCTGACTTAAACTCAGTCGCAAATCAGGCACCCATTGCTTCTCTTTCTGCATTTTTTCTTTATTCAACTGCATTTGATTGAAAAAACATAAAAAAAAAAAAAAAAAAAAAAAAGAAGAAGAGGAAATTCTATCAATGGTAAAAAATATAATTTTTTTTAAAAAATAATTATAGTTCATGAAAATATGACATTTTTTATATCTAGATTTTATTATTTTAATTTTTAAAAATAAAAAAAAGCATGTGCTTTTAATCCATGAAAAAAATTTAAAAATGTAATACTTAAATTTTTATTAAATATAAAGACTAAAAATAAAATAAAATAATTAAATAAAAACTGAAATAAAAAATGGTATATTTTTCAGCATTTATTTGTTTAAGCTCTGAAAGGAAAATGCAGATGAACAAATATACATATCTTATTTTCTTAAGCCTTAATGTTACCTTAATCCGAAATGGTGGATCAAATTCTAGCTTTAAACTGTTGGAATAGTTGCGATGCTCGTCGGAGTTCGATAGATGTTCCCTGATTCTTGTGTTGTTTCCGAAGTTCAACTCACTTGATCTAAGAGATGCTGGAGTGGTGCCAAATTGATGTACAACAGATTGTGACCCAGTATTAGAAGTAATATTGGCAGGTAACCTTTTTTTCCAGTGATGACTGTTCATAATTTCTATTGGAGGCCACCTTTTCTCTTCAATAAATTGGCTTGGTCGCATGGGTGCAATTTTGGTAGTATCCATTGTTTGATTTTGGTTTGAAGATATTGATCTTCCTTGCATTTGTAAGGCTGTTGAGGACACAACTTCGTTGCTAAAATAACTTGGTCTTATTCTAAAAGGTTGATGATTATTGAAGTACCATTGTTGGTGCCTAGTGATAGATAGGTATATATTGCAATATGAATTACTGTATATAAACTTCAAAACCATGGAATACATTGGGAATAAAATTAATCAATTAAAATGTGTGCATGATGATTACCTTGAATCGATGACTTTTGAATGCGATTGTGATAGGGAGGAGGGACGTAGGAGACCATGGAAATAACTGTGCTCGTTGTAATCACTTGCTAGAATAATTCCACCATTTCCCATTTTAAAATGTTGACGAGGGTTAATGGATTGATGGGCTACATGTGAAATACGACCAAGTTCATGGGCTGATTTGAATGTTTGACTTAATACTGTAAAGTGAATATGGATGAGTATATAGTCAAAAAATCAAAAAAAAAAAAAAAAAAAACTAAAATAAGTAACCCAAACCTTATGTCCTTCTGATAGCACTTTGTTCAAGGAGATGAACAGTTTGATTACTATTTTTTTTCATATCTATGACTACTATTACATTCATTCTTATTTATAAAACTTAGAAAAAATAATATTAATTAAGATAAAATAGTATAAGACATGTATTTTAATTGATTAAAAGAAATATCAATATTAATTAGAAAAGGTCAAAAGAAATATAAATATTAATTAGGAGAGAAAAATAATATAAGAGTAATTTAAAAAAAATATAAAAATAGTACAAATTTATTATTTTAAATTATATTAATTACTTTTATTAATCTCAGTAAATTAGGTATTTGAATGTTATATATAAGAACATAAATAGTAATAAAGGGGATAAATTGTTTTGGTGTTTACATTTTCAAACTTTTTTATCCTTCAACTAATTACAACTATTCTATTAAAAGTTAATTGCACATTCTCATTTTATTATTTTTTTTTTTTTACTTTTTAAAATAAGATCGTAGTGGCTCATTTTCTATAGTTGTTTATAATAAAGATTTGATTGAGAACGAGTATAAAAGATATCGAACCCATATAGAAAGACCCAAGTATATATGACTAACAACACAATCTCAAACATTCCATTGGATCTGCATACAAATACGAAAAAAAAACACAGCCATGACCACAATTGATGCACTAAGACTCAATTTTAATCCTGTCTGGTATAAATAAAATCAAAATATATGCTCATTATTAATATTAATTAAATAATATACAATTGCGCAACAATCATTAAGACTAGACCACAAAATGATAAACCAGTAACTATCCAGGCTTAATTTGCTTTCCTCTCAACAGGCTACAGTGGTGTATACAAATGATCAATGCTATTAGAAGGAAGCACAATCCTAAGATAACGATTATTTCGAGAATAATTTTATATTTCAAGGAATAAGATTCTCAATAATATTATAGGTTAGAATGTTATTTCTAGGTTATTACTATTTTTGACGTGTTTATATTGATGTTATTTCTAGCTTCATGAGAATTGAAATGGAATTAACAGTAAGTATCATAAGGCTGGGGTATGTGACATCATTCTCATCGTTATTCTAAGCTGATCAACCGTGCCTCATGTTGGGTGTGATTCACACTGTCAGTGTATGAGTTGAGAACTTTGCTTGTGGTATTATATATAGACAGAAAAATATCTAACAAAATATAAGAATATCAAACGAGCATACTAATATAAGTTGTATTCCTAGCTTATTGTACCCATAAAAAGGGGTTTCATTTGCATAATTAATTAGCACGCATAGCAAGATTTAGGATAGTCCTCACCTTGCCCAGCCTCGTCAAGTTTCTTGCTTCGATACATCTGAAATGAAAATTGCATAACTACGAATTGTTTATTGCAATAAAACATGAATTAACTTTATCAAACCCCCAATTTTGTTGCTACCTGTAAGTGACTCTTGACATGAGCAATGCTGAGTCCTCTCACATTCATTAGCTGAAGTACCAATTTGGGTGTTGCTCCTTCACCAATTCATGCAAATTTTAGGGCAAATAATAGGTTTTCTTTTCTTTTCTTTTTGATAAAATAAAATTTATGAAATTTTTTTTACAAGGAATACTTCAATCCCAATACAAACTAATAGTGGTATTAAAAGAATAAATAAAATCAAGTTATATGATAATACACCAATAAAAAAAAAATAATGATGACTTTACTTGCTTTAAACTTAAATAATATATATATATATTTCCTGTAGTCAAGAAAGTTTCATCTACACATATAACTCTAAAAATTTACATAAAATCTTATATCTTTAATTATATGATATTATATTCATAATTATGTATATCAAATTTTATATTATTTCAAAATTATTTTGTTGTTTATTCATATAATATAATATTTAAAATATGTATGTAAATATTTATTTATGGATAATATATCTAAAAAATTTAAATCATATGAAATTTGATACAAGTAATTTTAAATATAATATCATATGATTCAACAATAATATCAATTAAATTTGTATTATATAAAAAATTATTAAAAAAGGTATAGATTTCATGTAAATTTTTAAACTTACACCCATGTGCAAAGAATACTCTTTCTCTCTCTCTCTCTCTATATATATATATATATGAAAAAGGATTCATTTACTCTAAAAGTAAGTTTATCTAAACTTACTCTATTGATCAATAACTTATGTTCTACATCAAATTTTAATGATACAGTTATTAAATTTAAAATTTTTAATGTATAGATTAAGTCTGCATTTTATACGTTGATTTAAATTAATGAAACAAAATATCAAATAGTTTTCAAATTTTAAAAAAAATTATAGGCTTATTCATACATTAAAAACTTTGTATTTAACGGTAAAATCGTTAAAATTTAATGTAGAACATAAATTATTAAATAAAATAAGTCTAAATAAATTTACTTTTGGAGTAAAGAGATCCCTCTTTTCTCTCTGCATATACATACTCGGAAACACTTACTCTCTTGACCTCCAAGCCTTTCAACAGCATGCACAAAGGATAGATGAAGTTCAGGAGTCCACCGAAGGCGAGGCATCTTTGATCTAACGTATTGTCTCACGCCACCTCTTCGTTCATTATTTCCTTCTTTTGTTATGCTGCTACTTTTATTTGCTGAAGTTCCTTCGTCGTCCTTTGCTTTCTCGTATCCCTCATCGTTCTCATTGTTGTCTTCACTTGCTTCTTCATTCAAATCAAAGGATGAGCATTTCTGGGATGATCCCATTGAGGTGTCATCAGCCTGTTCCTCACTCCTTTCATATTCATCTGACATATTTATTTGTCGCTTCCAAGAATCACCTCCAACTTCAATTCTTTATCGTGAACAAATCATAAATGCCATTTCATGTCTGAAACACACGGGAAGTTAATATATATTTAAATGTACTGTTCAAAGTTGGCAAAATAAACAATAAAAGAATAGTGTCTTAAAGAAGAATTTGTGAGAACAGGCTGTAGTTTCTTACAACAAATACGAAGCTTTAAAACTACATGGTAAAAATAACAGAAATTTGATTGCAAGAAAGGTGTACCAAAGAAAACCAAGCAATGAACAGTGAGGAGTTATGGCACAAAATAGTGTATAGCAGTAGTAGGTCAAAATTCAAGAATTTTAGTATAAAGAGTGCAACCAACTTCTCTACCGTGAAGCTGTGAATAAAATTTATGAGGGATGATATGTCTAGTTTAGATCTACGTATTTAAGTGAAAGGAATTAACTGAAAGGGTAGACGAAGAAATTTATTGCTACTAAAGGACGGAAATTGTATGAACAGACGCTTTAGTTAGTTTAGGTCATGTTATTTCCTTCACTGGAAATATAAGAAATGTATGTTGTTTTAATTTAATCACAGAAGCATTAATAAATTTCAAAAGGTTCATAAAGGGTTCCGGAGATTTACAAACCACACTGACATGATTATTTTCATGAACTACGCACATATTCATTTGTAAATAGTGGATAGTGAATAATAATAAAACCAGGATATAGCGGAAGAGAGATAGAAGCTGTTCATTCAGCGTTAATTATCATTTTGTAACCAATTTTATTGCCACTTATCTATACAAACGTTTTATGATATCTTGCTTAAATTGGACTTTCAGGACAAGAACACGGTGCGGTGACACACTTGTGTCTTCAATTTTAATTATGGTTCTTTCTCTAGATGTTAGGAAAGATGTATGATGAAGAGAAAGGGTCGTTAATAATTTTTCCGCAAACTTATGAAATATATATATTCAAAAACACTGCCAATCACCATGAACAAAACACATCTCAGATAGGGAAATGCAGTTCACAAGGAAGTATATCCAGTTGGTTAAAAATTTTCTATGGAAGAGAAAACTTGTGGATTGATTAAGAAATCTTCAACAGGTTGTGTATGAATAAATTTCAAGCCGCTCCATAAGATAATAAATTATATATATCATCAGGTGTTTTCGGGAAGGAATATTGGAGGAATCATTTTGTATGTAATCATAAGAAACAAAGAGAAAGGAATAGTATTCACGATCCTAATTAATTAAGTACACCACAAAAAGAAGACGGGGAAGAAACGGATGTAGACGGTGAAATATATAAACTGATATCGTTGATGGTTTGAACAAAAAATTAACAAAATAAGAGGAGAGAGAGAAAAAAAAAAAAAAAAAAACTTTGATTCGAGTGTTTCACCTTTCCCCTTAAGTATACCAACCATTCACGATGATGATGATGTGCCTCTATGAGCTTATTCACGATGATGTGCCTGTTTTCTTTCTTTTCCAAGCCTATTGATCATAATTCCAAACATATCTTCACTCGGTCACCTATGGAAAAGCTCCTTGGCCTTACTGTTAAACTTCAAAGAACAACTCATGGACAGATTGAGCTTGATTCAGCCTTGGATCATGCTGTTCTCTGATATGTTTGGAGGGGGAGAGAGAGAGAGAGAGAGAGAGCATCACTTGATAACTGGTTTTTGTTTTGGCATATCATTCAGCAGAAGAATTAGAGTCATAAGTTTAAGATATTAGATAGGCTTTTATGGTCAAGGGGAAAAGAAAGAAAGAAAAATGAGAATCAACAATATTCGGACAGGCTACTTGTTCTCCTTAAATTGTAATAAACCTACATAAAGGATACAGATGTTGCAGGTCCCTTTTGCACTGTTGCAAATCATGTGACAATTCCTAACCTTTTCTCTCAACTCTATTCCTCTCAAGCCCTTGACAGTTGTAAAAATCAATCTACCTCTCTGTCTGTCTCTAACTAGCTCGTGATTATCTTAATTGTTTGACCTGTGCTAGGGACTTCTCACTTTGATGCTAATCATGATATATATTTTCAAACAATAATATATAGTACTATTTTTTTATGCTTTATTTTTTTATAATATTATATTATAGAAAGCAGGAATATTTTTCTTTCTCTTTTTTCCAGTATAAAATCGTAAAATATGAGTGTAGAAAATGTGATATATGAATAATATTACTGCTCGTTCAAATTGACCATGCTAGCTCTATATATTCTTAATATAGGTGCATGTATGTTGTGGACCCCATTCTTAATCCACCTTTCAATTTCTTCCCACCTAAACTAAGACTTTGTTTCCATTTCAATACCACTGTTTTTCTGTCCCAATAATGTGCATTTTCTCAATTGCTTCTCTTATTTAAAATATCTCTTCTTTTAATAATACCATATGTTTCCACAGACTTCTTTGCTTTATAAATATATATATATGTGTGTAACTGTGACGTCTGAGTTTTTGTATGCTTCGTAGAATATTAGCGATTGGACAACCTTAATTAATTAATATAATACAGTAATATAATAGCCATATAGGTTGTGTGTGAATTTAAAAATAGTCAAATTTGGTGGGAAATGTGTTGAAATATTAATAACGAAGTGTAGTATAGTTTAGTTTTTAAGGCATTTTCAACAGTAACTGGTGGCCAAAATATGCATTTCATAATAGCATAATTGACAAATTGTAATTAACTTTTCTAAATGCATGCATGAGCTATATGACTGGAATCTTGACTCCAACTTTGTAGACTTCCATTCATGGGAAATGAAAACAAAAGACAATATATAGGTATTTTCAATGTACTCAATATATCGAAATAACAAAGTCCAAAGTCCAAGCATTACATTATAATGAAAATAAATTAACATAGTTACTTAACATAGCAATAGCCGAAGTCATTTAACCATTAATATCTCACTTTTTAACCAATAAAGTAATTTATCGTTGTTAAGAGAATATGTAGGAAGGAGAGGATTTGTTAGCAAAATGTTTGACAATTGAGCTTTCTTCTAAAGGAAATCTAGAAGCTGGAAGGGGAAGTTGAACTTTATATCAACTTTATTGACTTCTGATGCACCCAACTCTTTTAATTTGTTGAATACCGCAACCATGTATATGTGGTTTAACTCAGTGATGTCTTTGTCAATCCCAGATATTACTATTATTAACCCTAATTTTCCTTCTCCACGTTTGTGTTAAATGATGAAAAATGCTCTTACTATCAGGTTATCACAACCCATCATCACAACTTAAAAAGTGATATTGCCAATTCTGGTTTATCTATCTTCTGACAAGTATTTAATAATCTGTATGTTGAGTTACATTAACATTTTTTTATGACACTATATTTTTTCTTTTATCTTTTTACATCACATTAATTATCTTATTACATACTCTACTTGTCCCTCTTATATCTCTCTTTGTTGCATAAATTTTGGGGAAAATTTTTTGTTTAAATATAATTTCTCATATTAGGATGCTACGAAGTAATTGTTTCAATGTTGTTTTGATCTAAACTAATATATTTAGATATTAGTTTAAAATTCTGTTCAATGAAAAAAATATACATTTTGATGCAAAAAAAAGGTAAAAACTTGTGAAATTGTAACTCTTTTTATAAAAATAAAATAAAATTAATTGAATTCAATTCAACTGATTTTCAAACACATTTTATATATTATATGCTCCATTCTTATACATACATTACGTTATACCATCTACAAAATATTTGTAACACATTTTTTATAAATAACTAAAATTTTAAAAGTTACGAGTAAACAATATTAGAGAGTAAAATCTACGTAACATTCTTTTGAACAAACTTTCTACTATATATTAATTAAAATTTATTAAAAATTATAAACTTTTATAGATTTCACTTCATATATTTAATGATTCTCTCTTAATTTTGTAATTTGTAATAATTTTTAACTAATAATTAGGTATGTTAAAATTTGTTGCTCACATTCTTCTTAGCTTTCATATTTTTTTAATAAATTTTAACAAATAATAAAAATACAATATGCTATTAATTATTCATCAAAATCCAATGCACGAGAAATCGAGGGAGGCAAAGTTTGAAATTTGGTACATGAAAAAAATGCGGAATGGCAGGGTCTGAATGTAGAAACCAAACAAAGAAAACATGTCTCTCCCATAAGATGTGCTGATCATAAGGGCACAAATTTTGATCATTTTCCCCCTTTGGATTTGTTTTTGTCCCAAAAGGACAAACAGGACCTATTCCTTAGAGATTGGGACAGCGTTGGAATCAGCTCAGAAATTAGGTTTTGCTAGATGCCGCCAAACTGATCCAAAACTCGTTTTGCGTAGCATGTGCACATATGTATGTTTCAGCTCAGTGCTCAAAGTGAGTGTGTGTGTGAGAGAGAGAGAGAGATAGAGAGAGAGAGTGGTGACAGATATTCGAAGAATTAAAGTAAAGAGTTTGGCAGAGACAAAATTACGTGGAAAGGAAAGGTAAATATCAGAGCCTATAATAGAGATTAAGAAAATTGAAAACATTAGGTTGGTTTTGTCCTCACGTTTGCATGGGAGTTGACATTTCACAATATATTAAACTGCATAAGAATCTTTCAAAGAATTAGGCGTATTTTTTATTATTATTTCATGGATGACGAGTCCAACCTAGCATTACATTATATACTGACATGCCTCAGTGATCTACAACTATAAAATACTGCAAGATATTAAGCATTTCTTGATTGACTCATAAAGGAGAATCATGTCTTATAACAAGCACCGGAAAAGAGTGTTTTATATCAATAATGTGCCAAGGTATTATCCCCCTTGTCCTTTCATGATTTTTTTTTGTAAACGTTATCTGTTTTTGTTGGTCTTGACAAAAATTAAAAGAAAATAAAATTTCAAACTGTTGTGTACACACTAGCTTTATTATTATGATCATTATCATAACGGATTAGTTTAATTTTTTACTCTTGGGACTCACGTAGGATGTTTCATGCTGCTTTGTATTTAAGTTGATCGAGAATCCATCATTGACCAAGGAATGATGTATATATGGCCAAAATAATGTCACTATTATAGTGCTAATTTCCCATGACCCATAGTTTGCAAATGATCAACTGCTGATCTTGGAAATCATGAGATTGGTAAAAGCAAGTTTTAACTATATATACGTATTTTGAACATGAAGGTTTAATATCTTTATAATTGTTTAAATTTAAAGAAAGTTTGTTTTATGTCTCTCAAATTAAAAAGTTAATTATTTTATTGTTCTTAAAATTTAAAGACAGTTTTTTGGTCTCATTTTTATCCGTTACACAAACTTTTTTGAAGCATGTAAGCAATGACATTTAATTTGTGTCAATCATATGTCACATATATGGAAGTATTAAATTAGATAGAAATTTACCTTCTAAAATATTTTGGCTTGAATATATATTTTTTTTATATAGAGAGGAAGATTAATTTTAATAAAAAAAATTTGATAAACCTATAAAACACATTTACTCTAAATTTTTTTAGAAACAAATGAAAATCGTAATAAAAACATTTGAGTCTTCAAATAACGAGAGCAAACCACACAACAAATAATATTTAATTAATATTTTTTGTTTACATCAATATCCTATGATTTTGTTCTAGGTTAATCTAATTCTCAGAAATAAATAAAATCTGACAAAAAAAAATTGTTTTCATTAAAGATCAAATTCAAATATTACTAAATGATTCGACCTTAAAATTAAGCTATTAACTACTTGTCTAACTTCTTAATTATGAATGTTTGGTATAACTATTGATGTAATAAATATGGTGAAAAAAGAGAAATTATATATATATATATATATATATATATATATATATATATTAATGTGGTATTTATAATCCGTTGACGTCCGAATATTAGCAACCCTAGAAATAATCAACTTAAAGCTAGATAAGATGTAGACAAAGTTCCTTAAAAAGGGGGGACTTTGTCCTTAAATGTACTCTATGACAATCTTCAACTAGCTAGCATAAGCCCCAAAGAACACACTGCAGTAAAGCAGCATATAGGTATATACCAGCAGCATATAGGTATACCACTGAACACAGATATATTAAAGATATATGTATATATTCCCAAAATCCAACAAGAATTACATTGATTTGCCACCACCTACTAATAGATAACATTTTACACTAGAACTTGTCACAAACAGATTCAAAACTAACCTTGTTGTAAAATTTTGAAAGAGAAAATATTCTTAAATTTTTTTAAAAGACTCAGGTGAGGGAAGACCAATGCTTTCAAAATGAGATTGAACAAATTAGACCATAACTTATAATAAGACTACGTACCTCCTTTGAGAGACACAAATTCCCCAAATGTAGTGAGAATTCACATTGATACGCTTACATTCACTAATTAATTAGAGAGAGATTGCTGGCAACAATAATTTAAAATCATGCATGAATTTGAACTTTTTCAGTGACGTATGTTCGACCAACTCCTTGACTAAAATTTTTCAAAGAACGATGAATTAATAAGATAACATTATGTTTATCTTTCTTGATAGAGGCAGAAACTAGTGTATAAGTAATCGAGCTTTGATTGCTCCGTATAACAAGATAATAGTTCAGACTTAAAAGTAAACAATTTGACCTAATTAAGAAAATTTATGCGTGGTTGCGTGAACTGTTACGAAACAGTGGTTGAAGAAATTAATTGGATTTGTGTTCAAGAAACGAAATGAATGACATTCTTAAAGATGATTTTTCCCTATTGACATATTATTTCTAGGAGAAACGTTGAAATGACACTGATGTAACTTTTTTATACTGCTTAATAATTTTATATTAAATGTAAATTTTATAAATTTAATTGTTAGATTGAAAGTTTATATCACTTTA